TGCCTTAAACGCCGATTACCGGGTCCTGTCAAAGTTATTCCGTCTTTGATCTCACCACTTGGATGAGCTAGGGTAGCAGGGCTAGAAACAAGTGCTCCAGACGTTTCAGGACAAACTTCCTCAATTACAGAGTTTTTAACAAGATGGCTGACAAACCCTGAGACAGGTTGGGTGGAAACCATTGATAGAAGACTTGCTTGTAACTGGGAGACAACATCGACAAGGAACTGAGCCTCCTGACAAACATAATCTATCTCTGGCTCTCCTGATGTAGTAGCCACAGAAATGCCACCGCTACTGTTTGCGAGACTTGTGGTAGTTGCGGTACTGGAAGTAGTTGTAGTCGCTACTGTAGTAACAGGAAAGCCGGTGGTGCAGGCGGAAGAAGGCAGAGCAGGGTTAAAGCAGTCGACAGGTAAATTTATCCATGCCTCAAGACAGCTCAGTTGTGTTTCTACTTCATCCAGATGGCATAATACACCGGACATTTCCGAATGAAACTCGGCTGGGTTGTATGAAACAGAGCTAAATCAAATTGAGAAAATAGAGTTTTTATTAAAATTGGGAAGGAAATAAGGGGTAAAACATGATAGGTAGAGCATAAAATTGTAAAATAAAATAAAATAAAAAAATAATTAAAGTAAAAGCATCAAATACTAAGGCACACATAAAAGGGATGTAAATTCCTCTGTGCGTTAAACTATCATCAGCAATAAATGAATTAAATAAGAAAAGACTATAATAATTGTTACGATGATACTAGTGCTATGTTGTGTTTAAATTAGGAAGTATTATAAGTAACTGTGAGAGAATATTAGTAAGCAATATGATATCCAAATTCTGTAAACAGTATGGCCCAAATTGCTTGAAAAATCAAGATGAGTTCGCTAAAAATAGGAAAATGTCTTTCGAGGACTGCTTCCGACTTCATTTATTTGGCGAATAGACATATCTTATGTGCCACAATGCGTAAAGCTATAGATAAAAATGTCCATAAAGGCGAAAGAGGCGCTTCATTCTGGAGTTAATGTCAGCACAAGAGGGCTCTTTGTTTCTACATAAAGTAGAGCTTTCTAAAACTTTAGCAACACAGCCTAGAGCAGG